TGACCACACTATCGAGCTACAGCTTCTCTGGAAGTCAATGCTGCATAGGGAAAAAACTCATTAAATACACACTGGATCTCTGGTGAATAAAGGACAGCTGCAGCAGGATGTCCCCTGCATCCTCCTCTTGAGGCTTATCCCATCTCTCCTTGGCACAGTACAAGATCTTTGCAAGACACAGTCTCCACTACATCCTCAAACCTGAGCCACCTGCGCCAAAATTCTACCTGGCTTGGAGGATGGCTCTATACAGGTAACCCTGGTTCTCAGGAGCAGAAAGAAAAACCTGCAGGTTGTCCAATACCTACTCAAAATTTGGCTGTGGCTCAGATGGGTTCTGTTTTTCCTTCTTAGGCCTAGAAGAAGGCACTAGGAATCAATATTCCTGATTTGCCCAGAACTGCTAGAATGAACTACCACAGGAATGCCACACACAGCCAAGCCCTTGATTTTTTTTATAGGTATTTTTGCACCAGCTGATGACATTCCAATCCAACCTAACTCAACCCCTGGCTAGGGGTACCAGGAAATGCAGCAACAGGAGCCTCTAATCTCTACAGGAAGAAAGCCATGAGGATTAGGTGTTCAACAGACAAAAGCAAAGCATTTTATTTAAGTATTTTGTCTACTTCCACATCACTGAAAACCATTTATAGCTTGCTTCCTTGTGAAGCTTTTCCAGGCCTGCTTCCAAGCCCCACTACACCTCAGCCATTGGGAAGCTGACCCTCAACTTCCACAGCACCTGGGACAAGCAGGAGACAGAAAAGGCTTTCCCTTGTTCCATGAGGAAGTTTCCCTTGAGGAATAGCCCCACTTCAATTCTCTCTCCACGCCCCTCAGAGGACAAGCTGTCTAACAGGACGTGTGGCCCCCCACACATTACAACCCCCCAGGCCACTCCAGCACCTTCTTCTCCACTGCAAACACATTTGGGAACTTGGCTTCCTCCACCCTCTGTGTGTGTGGCCGAACAGGGAGACTGGAAAGAGATGCAGGCTCTGATACTTCTGCTCCCAGATCATTTATTCAGCTCTGTCACACTCTTCCAGCGCTGTGGATGCCCAAGGCCCAGTTGCTCCATGGTCAGGCCTCCTCACCCTGCTCAGCCCTCCTGAAATGTGCAACACCACCACACTCAGAGGGGAAAATCGACAAATATCAGTAAAAACTTCCTTCTTCTTGTTTATCCCTACACCAAGATCAATGAAGGAACTTCTCATTCAAGTTTCTTGCATCCCCCTTCCCAGATCTCTCACCCTTGTTCCTGTTAGGGACAGACTCATGGTCTTCTCCCTAAGGCATTGTTCCTGTGGGAACATCTCCATGCTGAACATCTCCCACAGAGCTTTCCCAACTCTCACAGGTTTCAGAACTCTCAAGCAAGCTGTGAATGCTTCATTCAAGCCCTGTGTCCTCCAGTATTGATGTACTCCCAACTGTTCCCTCATAATCCAAGTATTTGCTCACCTCCTTGCCCTTTCTCCCATTTGGTGTTGTTATTGAAACCTCCTCTGTATTTCACCCTCCTGGAGGAGTTTTAATGTTTATTTTACAGCACTGTCCTCTCACAGTAATCTGGTCTATTGGTGCAGTTTCTTCCAGCATTACTTATATTGCTTTTGAAAGAACTCATCCATAAGACCATTTAGCATTTCCACCCCGTTTCAAAGAAAGCCCATATAATTTATCATCTCTGCGAGAAACCAGCCATCCTGAGAAGTACACAAGTAGAATTGATGGTACTAAAAACAACAGTGCACAGACACACTTGATGCAACCACTCTATTAATTACATCCATATTATACAAACTCTTCCTTCATCTTTCCTAATATAATCTATGGTCTCAGGAAGCTTGTACATCCCAGTCCCATCACAGCAGGATCAATTCTTCATCAGCCATAACTGATTGATGTGAGCCTAGCCTGGCCTAACCACCTCTGATAACAGACTGAACAGCCTTCCCAGGAAATAATTCAGCATTTCACTGTCTTACTGTCAGTAAAGTCTGCCAGCACCTAACCAAACTCTTCTGCTTACACTGTGAGCCCATTCCTTCTCCCACTTGATGAGAATTTGTCTGGTTTTCTGCTTCCTCTTTGCAGCAACACCTCCTTTCAATTTCCTCTTTATTATGAAGAGCTCCATTTCCTTTAATTTCTCCTCACAGATCATTTATTCCAGGATTCGGCTGCTCTCTCTCAGTGGTCTGCAGAGTTTCTCAAGTGAAGTGTGAGGGAAAGGATAACTAATCTCTGCTGTGAGAGGATAAACAGGCACATCACAGATGCTGCCAGAAGGAACTGCCAGGATCCTGGATCCCGATCTCTTGATTCTCAGGGATCCAACCCAACCGACCTGTGCACAACCTCCCTGTTGAAAAAACCCCAAAAACTAATGACTGCAACACCACAGCCAGGCTGCCAAAAATCAAATAGCACAACCCAACTAAAGCCAGGAGGGCTTTCTAATCATCAGTCCCCAGGACACTGGCAAAATCCTTCTCCTTCCCCAAGCTCCTGAAGGAGACAGCTCTGACAGCAGGATTTTAACATGCCCACAACCTCAGTCACGTCTGCTCAGTATCCTGGGCAAACACAGGAGATTCACAGCTTTTTAATGTTTTTTTTTAATAATTTTCTCACACATTTACTGCTACACTTAGCTCAAGGAGTGAAACCAAGCATGAATCTGAGCCTCTGTTAAATCAATCGCAAAGGTCAATTTAAATTTAGATAAATACAAATTATTTGCCAGGGCCATACCGCTCAAGGAGACAACTCAAATATTAATGACAGACGCTGGAAAGACCATTCCACACCTGAGCAGGTGCCGGGATTAACCCTGCAGTAACAAGTCACACTTCACACGTGGGAACGAGAGCGCCATGCGAATGCGGGACTGCCGGGATGGAGACACCCGATAGCGACGGAACCTCCGGCATCCCCTCGCTGCCAAACACAGCGACAGGGGCGGAGGAACGAGTGGCACCCCGAAGATATCGGGCACAAACAACTCTTTCAACAGCACCGAGAGACCGCAGCGATGTCTCCGCTGCGCCGGCGGAGCTCAGAGCCCGCTCCGTCCCCTGATTAATCCACAATCCTGGCGGCTCCTCGTAGTTCCGTGATTACTTGTTTGGAGCAAAACAACGGAGCGACAGGTGCACACCTCCAACAGAAGCTCCTTTAGAGGCAGCACTGAAACGGATTGTGGCAAAAGCCGGAAGGATAACCTGCGGTTACACAGTGTTCCCTTAGTTTAAAAAGAAAAAATAAGGAAAAAACCCTCCCGGTATTTTTAGCAAATCTTTTGAGCTCCAAGACGCGACTTGCTGCCTTTACAGTTTTTTTCCGCCCTGAGACACACAAGAAAGCCTGCGCGCTGCCATTCCCCTCTTTTCCTGGCAAAGCCACCAAGAAAAAGGGAGCGAACAGAACCCGGCTAGCTGTGCCCCCCTCCCTGTGCCCGCCGGAGCACCGACCGGGATTCGGGAAGCCCCCCGAGCGCCTCTCCCTTGGCTGACCTTGAGGGGGGCGGGAAGAGAAGGGAGGAGAGGCAGAACCCGGGGAAGAGGCGCTGCGCTGCCCGCTCGGGTCGGTGCCGGTGCCGCCGCTCCCGGCGGGGGCTCCGCGACCCCCGCGACCCCCCCCGCCTCCCGGCGGCCCCCAGCGCCACCTGGCGGCCGCGCCCCGCGACCCCCGCCCCGGGAGCGCGTCCCTGAACGCCGGGCAGCGCCGGCAGCACCGCCCGCTCCCGGAGCCGCGCGGGGCGGGCGGGCCACGAGCTGCCGCTGCTGCCGGCGCGCGACCGGGAGAGCTCCGCTGCCGCCGCCCGCCACAGCGCTCAAGTTTCACCCGGTGACGGTGCTAAGAATAAACGCGCAGCTGGCGGAGCCGGGGGCTGGGAACCACCCCGAAACCGCCGTGGAGCAGCCGCGGAGCAGCCGCGGAGCCGGGGCCCCCGCGCCGCCCGCCGGCACCGCGCCCGCCTTCTGAAGGGCACACGGCTGCCGCCTCACTCACCGTCCGGTGTCGCTGCTGCTGCTGCTGGCGGCGCCGGCCCAGCGCCGGGAAGCGGCCGGCGGCGGTGAGTGCGGCGGGGCGGCGGCCGCAGAGGAGGAGCGGCAGCGCTCTGCCCGCCGTGGCCGCCATCGCGCCGCTGGAGCCGCCCCACGCTGCGGCGGCGGCGGCGGCAGTGCTGCTGCCGCCCGGCGGAGCGGGGCGGGCGCGCGGCGAGCGGCGAGGCGGGGCCAATCCGCGCCGCTGGCCAATCGCGGCGCTCCTCCGGCCAACCCCGGGCCTCGCGCAGCCAATCGGCGCCCAGCGGGTGGGTCGCCCGGAGAGGCGATTGGCCGGTGGGCGGGGCTGGGAAACTCCTCGGCGGAGGTGCCGTGGGGCGGGGCCAATGATGGGCGGTGCCATGGGGCGGTACCAGGGATGGGCGGGGCTGGGAGGGAAAGAGGGGCGCGGGGGGCCCGAAGGGAACAGCCGGGAACGGGATGCGGGACATGGGGAGCACCGGGAGAGGGGTGCAGGGAGGTGGGATGCACTAGAGAGGGGGTGCCGGGAGATGGGGAGCACCGGGAAAGGGGTGCAGGGAGGTGGGATGCACTAGGGAGGGGGTGCCGGGAGATGGGGAGCACCGGGAAAGGGGTGCAGGGAGGTGGGATGCACTAGAGAGGGGGTGCCGGGAGATGGGGAGCACCGGGAAAGGGGTGCAGGGAGGTGGGAGGCAGTAAGGAGGGGGTGCCGGGACATGGGGAGCACTGGGAAAGGGGTGCAGGGAGGTGGGATGCACTAGAGAGGGGGTGCCGGGAGATGGGGAGCACCGGGAAAGGGAGACCACCAGGAAGAGGCTGCAGGAAGATGGGGTGCAGCAAAGATACCACAAGATGCAGCGTAAAGGTGGCACAGGGATTTGGGGTGCTGGGTCAGACTGGCACCCAACCAAACAGCAGTTTCAGTGAAGGGTAAAAGAACATCTGGAGATATATATATGTATGTATGTATATATGTATTGCAGACATGGTGGGCTGAGCTGCCAGCATAGACCTTGCAGCACCTGGGCTAAGTAAGCAACCTGTGCTCAGCTTTCTCTTGAAAGATGATGTACCTGGATTACTTTACTTAGAAAAGACTTTTTCCTCTGGCCTGGGAGTTACTACAACACCAATGGCAGCCCCTTCTTAATTCCTGTTATTTCTCCCTCTGAGTTTCTAAAAATATGGAGAGGAGCACGACCAAGTCATGGGATGACACAGATGTGCTTCAGTATCTCCCACACCATCACAACTCTCCTTTTTCCATCCCCACCTCCCTCCAGTGCTGCCTTCCACAAGTCCTGATGGGTGTTCTAAGCTTTCCTCCAAGCAATGTCATTTTGGAGTTTGTCCCTGAGAAATCCTCCACCTCAATCCTAATTTCTGGCTGGATTTTTTCCTGCAGAGATCAGCTTTCCCTTCTTTCTCTTTGTTGGTTGGGAAAATGTGGTTGAATGTGGTGAATCCATGGAAGGATTTACCCAATGTCTTTCAGACTTCCCACATTTAGCATTTCAATGATTATTTGTGTTTTCTTGGAAAACCGAGGAGACAAATTGCAGCAGCAGCTACTCTTGAGCTTTGTTGCTCAGACCAGACAGAGTCTTTGCTTGATCCCTGCTTGTTGTATTTCCCTCTCCTGTCATGTTGAAAACTGATGGTGAAAGGAAAAATGCTTCCAAACAAGGGTTTTAAGTAGCAAAGCCCTTAGTGATGACTCCACAGTGGAAGATGCTCCCCCACACATCTTGGCACCTCATGGACCACAGCCAGGGTTTCCCTCTCTGCCACATCAGGCTCTCCCTGGGACAGCTCCCAGCACAGTGGGATTAAAATCCTAAAAATGGCAAAACTGTGGTTAATGCAGCCTGGGTGAACTGGAAAAGAAAGATTAGAAAGGCAGGAAAGGGACAGGGAGGAAGTCCCAGGATGGGGAAGTCCCAGGATGGGGAAGTCCCTTGGGGTCAGAGCCACCTCTTCTCCTGATAAACTACCCACCCCAAATCTTTTTGCCTGGGGGAGCACAGACACGTTTAGGATGAGCCTGTGCTCTCCTCCTCATGGGGTTTCCTACAGGAATCAGTGCCAGCAGCTCTGAGGGAGGACAGGGATGGGCACATAAAGCAGACCCTGCCCCAACTCTCTCCTATTCCCTACTCCTCCAGCCATTCATATTCTGTATTTAGATATTTATTTATCATAAAAGAGGAGCTAGGACCGACCAAAAGTAAAATTTTTGGCAGAATTTATATATTTCCAGGGAATATTTGACAGAGGTGGGGGAAGATGGGCTTTGAGCAAAGGCTGAACACAGCAGAAAGGCCAAAAATTCATTAGCAAACGCCTGCTGAGTGTGCGCTTGTTACAAAGCACAAAAATGGGAATTAAATATGAGCCCTGAGATCAATACCCCAGGCAATTAAATGAGCCAGCAGGGAACGACTCCCCAAGGCGCAGGGAGAGAGAGGGGTGAGGATATTGGCACCAAAATGAAACCCTGTCATTTCATGTCAAAAACTCCTGCTAGAAGCAACTTCCACTCTTGGAAAACCTAAATAAAATAATGTATTTAATAAGGCTTTCTCCTGGTGCTTATAATTACAACTGGTTGAATATTGGAAAGCTGCTCCTGAGAAGAATTGCTGGAGAAAAGCACACCAGAGTTTGCAATGAATATTATTACAGTAGGAAAGTGGAAAACTTAAGCTTCAAACCCTCATCAACCATACTGACACTGCTGAGAGAGGCATGGATTGTTCCCTCTTGCAAATAAAACACTGATGTAAGAGAAAGTGAGTGTGGGATAAGCCATAGGCAAAGCCATCACTTTGGAAAACCTGCTCATGCCCCAAAGTGCTTGGATTAAATAAACCAGCTAGGAAGAAAAATCCTAAATGATCTTTTAGTCCACAGATTCATCACTTTCTCCATGTTATTTAAATTTAGGATTAGCCAATTTTACCCCTACAGATGTCTAGGACTGTGATACAGCAGAATCAGGCACCTGGAGATAGATGCAAAATCCTGCAGGTGCATTAGGCATGGGTGGAGGAAGAAATTCAGGAGGATCCCAGGTCTAAGTGCTTTTTATCTCCCTTTATTTAGAAGCAAGGTTGGTGCTTCCAGGTTTCTGCACAGCCCTGAGATGGAGGTCAGAGTCTACTTGCCAATAAAGGAATGGTGTTGGCCACCTTCTGTAAGCTGAGCACTGCCCAGCTTCTCATGGAGCAACAGGATAGGAGGGGAAAATTCCCCTGGACTGGGCAGGGAAGTGATCTCTGTCTCATCACAACTCAGACCTGAGCTACCCAGTGTTTGCTGGCTGCTTCTCCCACCCCGTTTTGGGATCTGGAGATGGCCAGACCTCAGCCACACAGAGACCCCTCTAAGGGATCCCCTTATGCCTTCCCAAAATGTTCACCTTAAAAATCCCCGCAGCGTTCCCGCTGTGGGAGGGCAGTGTCGGGACTTAGCAGCCTCCTGGATTCCTCAAGAGCAATTGCTGTCTCTTTATGCCTCTGGAAAATGTGTTTTTTAATGGGGGGTACATTAAAGCCCGAGGAGAGCCAGCCTAAGAGGCAACTGGAAGCAACTAAAATTAAAATAGCTAAAATTAGCCTCCTCAGCAGTGAATCCTCCCTCTGATCTGGATGCCGAGGTACACATGACCCAGGCGTGCCTTTCTCACTTTCCCTTCCTGCTGCCATCCCATTCCTGGGCCACTGGGCACGGCTGCAGCTGCTGCCACACCTACCCACCACCCCGGAGAAGGAAGGAATTGTTCCCTGGGAGGGTGGGCAGGCCCTGGCACAGGGTGCCCAGAGAAGCTGTGGCTGCTCCTGGATCCCTGGAAGTGTCCAAGGCTGGTTGGATGGGGCTTGAGCAGCCTGGGGTGGTGGAAGGTGTCCCTGTCCACAGCAAAACAAGATGATCTTTAAGATCCCTTCCAACCTCTTAACATTCTATGATTATATAGATATATAAAAGCCCCTGAGATCCCATATACCACTCTTTGAGGCACTATACACAGGCCCTACATCCCAGCTAACCAGGACCTATGGAGACACTCCTTTTACAGTGCATAGAAGCCTTTCAGGACCTGTACATAAGCCCCTCAGACCCTACAGACACGCCATTCAGGACCTGTAAAAATGCTCCTTGTACACTGTATACAGGCCTTGAGGGACCTACAGATATGGGCCCCTGGGACCCTATATACAGCAGGCCTTTCAGAGCATATATATATATATATATATATATACCATAGATAGGCTCCTGAAACTCTATATACAGACCTTTCAGAATATATATAGATAGATAGATATATGTATATATGCTCCTCGGAGCCTGTCTACAGGCCTTTCAGAGCCTCTGTCTATCTGTCTATCTATGTGGGCCCCTGAGACACTATATAAAGACCCCTCAGAACCTATAAATATATATGGGCCCCTCAGAACCCATACACAGGCCTTTCAGAGCCTCTGTCTATCTGGACCTCTGACACCCTATATATAGAGCTTTCAGGCTATCTACCTACGTATAGATAGGTGGGCCACTCAGACCTTATATACAGATCTCAGAGAACCCATATATATATGGACTCCTGAGACCCTATATTCAGGCCTTCAAGTATGTCTAAGCCCCTGAGGCCCCATACACACTGTTCAAAGCCCTATAAATATGCTCCTTGTACACTGTATACAGGCCTTGAAGGACCTACAGATATGGGCCCCTGGGACCCTATATACAGCAGGCCTTTCAGAGCATATATATATACCATAGATAGGCTCCTGAAACTCTATATACAGACCTTTCAGAATATATATATATATATATAGATAGATGTACGTATATATGCTCCTCAGAGCCTGTCTACAGGCCTTTCAGAGCCTCTGTCTATCTATCTATGTGGGCCCCTGAGACACTATATAAAGACCCCTCTGAACCTATAAATATATATGGGCCCCTCAGAACCCACACACAGGCCTTTCAGAGCCTCTCTCTATCTGGGCCTCTGACATCCTATATATAGAGCTTTCAGGCTATCTACCTACGTATAGACAGGTGGGCCCCTCAGACCTTATATACAGACCTCAGAGAACCCATATATATATGGACTCCTGAGACCCTATATACAGGCCTTCAAGTATGTCTAAGCCCCTGAGGCCCCACACACACTGTTCAAAGCCCTATACCAAATCCCCTCATCCCCTACAGAGAGGACCCGCCGGAACACTCACCACACGCTGTATAAAAGCCTACACAAAGAGGTTTCTGAACCCTACACACGCACGGACCCACCAAAACCCACAGCGAGCCCCGCGCCCCTCACGGCGCTCAGGCCACGCCCACCAGGGCAGGCCACGCCCACACCCCACACAGGCCCCGCCCCCGGAAGCGCGCGCGCGGCGGGCGGGGCGGCGGGAGCGGCGGCGGGGCTGAGGTGAGCGGGGTCCTGAGGGGGCCGGCTCAAGGCTGAGGGGCCGTCGGTACCGGGGCTGCAGCGTTCCCGGCCTTGGGGTGGATGGGGGCTGAGTGGATGCCAGAGCCCAGAACTGGTTGGGGAGGGGGGGTTCCCAAGGCACGGGGAAGTTTAAGGCCCCGGAATATGGGGTCTGCGTAGGCCATAGGTCTCAGGGGAGTCCTGCGGGCTGAGCAGGGGTTCCCGGGCCACGGGAATGGAAATGGGCCTAGGGGGAGTCGCAGGCCCCGGGAATAGCAGGGTCCTGCCTCCCGGGGCTGAGGGCCTCCAAGGCCCTGGGGGTGAGGGCTCCTGGCTCCCGGGGCTTGGGGCTAAGGGGTCCCAGGCTGAGACAGAGCTGCTGCCCGGGATAACCAGGTTTTCCGGCACACACGGGGCTCGGGATGCCGTGTTCTTCTGGCTTCTCCATCCCCCGTCCCGCAGTAACGCTGTGCCTTCCCCTGGGAAATGAGCCGCGGGTCTGGGGCTGCATGGCGGCTCAGGAACGGGGTCCCGCCGGTGTTCCGCCCCGGGCCCGGCAGGGAGTGTTGTGGGGGCTCTCCCACCGTGCGAGCAGCTGCGTTTGGGTTACTTTTCTTGCTGGTTGTGGGATGCCGGCGGCGCTGCCCGGGCTGTGTGAGTTATCGCCGCGTGTTAGAGCTCACGTCAAAACACTTTCTCTTGATAGAGGTTTTTTAAAGCTTCAACTCTGCTGAATGGCCCCAGCTGCGTTTGATGTGCAGTTTGTGTCGGAAAACCTTTAGGGTGAATTTGAGTTAATGTACTGCTCAGAGACCAGAAATGCCTGATGTTTATCACAACGTGATTGATGTGCTCTGTAGTTGCCTGTAGTTTAATGAGCTGCTTGGGAAGGATGGTAAATCTGGCTGTGTTTAGTGGGGTCTAGGGGGGTGGGCAGGTCAAACCAGGCAGGGTTTCTGGAGGTTTCTCCTTTAGAATCCTCATTGCCAGCAGGCTTGGGCTAAAGGCCTGGCTTATCTTTAATTCCTTTATTCAGCTGTTGACCATTTTCCTCCTCCTGGCTTTTTTTGGCTCAGTCTGAGATGCATTTCCTGTGGTCGATAAACTGAGGTCGAGTATGAGCACTGCAGGGCATGACTGCCAGGAGGAAAATTGGGTGCAGCACAAAGTTATGATCTCTTTTATGCTTTTTCTCATCTTTAGAACAGGCCCCAGATGAGAAATACTTCTCTGTGTTCTCTGTGACCTCTTTATCTGCAAACTGGGAGCTAATACACTACAGGTGAGGATGGTACTGCTGAGTGCTGGGCAAGTCCTTGCTTTCAGGTGCTTTAACTGGTGAATTCATAATTTGGCTGATTGTTACCCTTAATATACCCTGCGTAGAATTATTCTTGTCCTGGAGCATTCTCTTAGGGCTTTTCTTAAAGCTGTAGGAGAATGAGTTGCCTTTTTTTTTCAGTGTACAAAGTTGTGCTGACTTTCCTGGTGCAAGTGCTTGGGAACACTGAGCCCTGGAAGAGGTTTGTCTGCCTGTAGCTTTCTGTCAAGCCAACCTCAGCTGTTCCACCACTTTCATAAAATGCAAAAAAACTCCCAACACCATAAAACCTGAAGTAGTCACTAAAAATGTGTTTGAACATAGGGTGGTATATAAACAGCACCAACAAAAATACAACCAAAGCTAATAAAAGATATTTAAACTATGTGTTTGTCTATCTGGAGCAACAGAGCATTTTATGACTTCCCACTGTCAGAGGGCAGGGTTAGATGGGATATTGGGAAGAAATCCTTCCATGTGAGGGTACCCAGAGAAACTGTGGCTGTCCCTGGATCCCTGGAAGTGTCCAAGGCCAGGCTGGATGGGGCTTGGAGCCACCTGGGATGGTGGAAGGTGTTTACAGTGAGTCTTAAGCTCATGTAACCCCTCTTTATTTCCTTGTGGAAGTGGCTTGTTCTCCCAATGACCCATTTCCTGCAGCAACTTTTGTGGTATTCCCTAATGCTTCCTGAGCCAAGGAAGCTGAAATTCCATGCCCTGGAGGAAAAAGAATGATGTGCCTTGATTCCATCATCACTGTCTGCCTGCTGGGGACCCTCTAGAGAGCCCTGTGTGTCGCTGGTGGCTGACACTTCTCCCTGCAAGTTCCTGTTGCACCTCCTGGGTTCCTGGGTAAGCTTATGGCAGAGTTTGAGGAGACACGATCCAGTTGTCCTCAGGCTGAAAGACTTGAAAATCATTTGAAGTCTGGGCAGGGCTTTGAAGCAGCAGCTCAGAAATGTTACTTTTTTCAGGTGATAGTTGAGGGAGCCATCAGGATGTTTAGATCTGGAATGCGGCAATAACCATTGTTATTTTCTTGAGCAAAATAAGTTATGTAGCAGTCATATTAAGTTTATTATAAAAACATACTGTTTTATGCTGTTCCAGTTGCTGCAGTAACACTTCCTGAAGTGATCTGGCATATGGAAATGCTTGGTTTGTTCTTCCCAAGTTCCCAGTTGACATATTGGGGCCAAATATTGTAGCTCAGTACAGTGGGGCTGAGGATGCTTGGGTACAACAATAAAAATAATCTTAATTGTATTAATTCCTGGTGCTGTGATTTCCTGTTGGGATGTTGAAGGGTGAAAAACTGTCTTGGTGTAGATGTGACTTCGGGTGGGATGATGTTGTTTGGGATAATTTAGCAGGAAACAGTTACCCAGGGTCTTTGGGTGTTGTACACCTCTGAGATGAAAAATGCCTTTCTTTTTTAAACTGAATTGTTCTAAGAAAAGTGTCCTGTAAGTGGTGTGGCTCCCTCTTAAACACAGAAAGGAAAGGCTATTAACAACCACCCAATTCCACCCCTGCCATGGGCAGGGACACCTTCCACCGTCCCAGGCTGCTCCAGCCCCAGTGTCCAACCTGGCCTTGGGCACTGCCAGGGATCCAGGGGCAGCCACAGCTGCTCTGGGCACCTGTGCCAGGGCCTGCCCACCCTCCAAGGGAACAATTCCTGCACAATATGCCATCCTTCCCTGCCCTCTGGCAGTGGGAAGCCATTCTCCCTTGTCGTTTTGCTCCATGTCCTTGTCCAAAATCATTCTGCAGGTCTTTTGTTGGTACTGAAAGGCTGAGGATGAATATTTATCTTTAGGGTGATGCATTTGACACTTCAAGTAAAAAATACATGGACTCGTAGCAGAAAGTGAGTAGAGCCTGAGGCACTTTGTCTCCCTAAGCACACACCATCCAAAGCCTGTGGCAGCCTCACCTCTTAGTTTTAGATTTAAGATACTTTAAAAGAGGAAAACCAGACTGTTGGATCGTGAATTGTTTTACTGTGGCTTCTGTGGACTTATCTGAAAAGTCCTTGGGTAGTAAATTTTGAGTTCTGTTTGTCTACTGCCCTGTCTGGGAGTATAGTCACTTGTTTATCCCCAGAGAAACTTGCTAAGGAGTTTACTTCTGTGCATTCTGGATTTAACTTCTCTTGATAGCAGCTTTTAATTGTAGTCCCACCATTTGAAGAGCTCCTTGTCTGTGGGTGTGAGGCAGGACCAGGTTGGAAGAACCAAAACACTGATGGTTGTAACTGGGAATTTTGTGCTGAGACTGGCACAAGGTTTGGGTTGGGGATTTTTTTCTGGGTCTCCAAGGTCTCTCAAGGTAAAATTCCTAGTTGTTTCTCTTACTTTGGCTCTGTGATGTGGAATCTGAGATCCTCATGTAGACAACAAGAAAGAAGGTCATGGTTTGAGACAAGAGGAGTTGCAGCTGACCTGTGTTTGAAACATGAGCCCTGGGAATCTGTGTGGCTCCAGAATTCTTGGCCTGTCTGTGATGCAGACAAAGCTGCTGTGCTGACACACACCAGCCAGCTCCAGGGTCTGTATGGACCAGCTGTGTTCTGTACCACCACATGAATTTCTGTGTTTTCACTTGTTAGATACAAAGTTCCCACCTCTGGCATTTTTGCTTCAGGAGCTAGAAGAGCAGTGGGGGTTTTGTCACAAAAATCCCAGTTGTGATACAGACAGGTACCTGAGGTGTGCCTGCCTGCCCACCTTGGTTTGAGCCATGTGTTTGCTGCTGGCTTTTTCCTGCTGAAACCCAGCTCCTCAGGCTGTGTTCTACAAGCACAAGGCACTAGCCTGGCACTTTCTCCTCTCTGAAATTCAAGGTAATCCAACAATGTGTTGCTGGAAAAGCAACTGCAGTGATTCAGACCTGCCTTTCCTTTTTAGGGGGAAAGCAATACTGTACTCTTCTCCCGATTTCCCAAACAATCTCCATCTGGTAGATGAAACAGAGGTGCTGTGAATATTTTTGTTTGTTTCAGTAAGTTTTTAATTTAAAATTTCTTTGTGTAGAAAAGAGAGCCACCAAAACATGACTCTTTGGCCAGGAATAAGCATTTTCTTACGGAGGATGTGGCTGTACATTATGTTTCTGTTTAAAAGGCAACTTCAGCCAAGGAGAAATTACCACATTGTGATATTTAGGTTCTTGGAGGGTTCACAGATCTTTTTTCTCCTTGTCACGGAGGAGTTCAGACTTCACCATATCAAATTCTGAGACAATCCACTGTCTGTCACCCTTCAAAAAACCTTTGTCTCTTTCTGGAGCTGGAATTGTATCTGCAGGTAACTCAAACCTGCCAAACTGCCACCTTGTCAGTGTAGGGAGGCTTTTGCTTTGTTCTAAATTTTTCTCTTCAAGAATTAATTTTTCATGTTTATTCATTAGGAGTTAACACTGGTTTTCTTGGAGCCCAATGAGCCATAAATATTTCTTAAATGTGACTACTCTGAGATATTTTTTGTTTCTTTTGAGTTACATGCAGGTGGATGACTGTTGGATGGAGCTTCAAGGAGAGTCTCTCCATTCTGTGGAAAA